AGACTTACCTCGCAAGGGTAACCGTATTACATCGACGGGGACAACCGTACCGACGGCCGAATCGGCTCACGCCGATAGGCTACATGGTTTACATGCATACTAAGATTATACCAACCCAATATTAAAGTAAACACATGAGGCATAGCATTTTTAATAAGTAAACCCACCTGGACGATAACAAGCGAAAGCACAACAATAACGGGTAAGCGGCGAGCTCGACTCGTTAAGCACCTACATTTATTAAAAAAGTCCTATAAATGACTATTCAATACATGAACAACTAATCATAATAATCACTTAGTCCAACTAAGCTCACATAATCATTTAATCAAGGAAATCCCATTTCTAAAAATACCACGTACGTTTTTCAAATCTTAACCCGGGCAGCATTTATGAAATCAACATAACTTTCAGTACAAAACTCGGATGAATATGATTCAAGTTGCACTGGAATCCTAAGACATACATCTACAATTCTTATGAAGACACCAAAAGCAACTAAGGTCGTGTACTAGGCAATAAATCATCAAACATTCAAAACTGGGTAGCATAAAAAAAAATCGAGAACATGTAACCGACCAGACTTCAGTATTTACTAGATAACTGGAGCTACATACATGTTTTTAATGAGATTCAAAAACTATATGATATATAACTTAAATTTCTACAACTTTGCTGAAGACCACATTGGCAAATAATCACTTTATAAATGAGTTTGGACACAAAACATTTGATTCATAAAGTCTGCCTGAGACTAAAGTATGATATAAACAGCATCTCAGTATTTATCCTCTAAATTATTTTACCGACCTCTAAATTACATGCTTCTTGTATACTTAGAAAGCTAAGAGATACCCCTACAACTTTCATTTAGAATACAAAAACAGATAAGGTCTTTAAGATGGTGTAAAATCTACTAACATTTAAAATCAGTTTTCTGCCAAAGTGTAAAACCCTACTTCATGTATATCTACAATCATATGAACACAACTCAAGTTATAGATTTCACCTCAACATGAATCCTATCTCATTAGAAAGCTAATCAACAACCCTATAACTTTTATGAAGACTACAAATTTACTAGATCACATTATGACACCATAAATAGGCCAAACATTATATAAACTCATGCTGTCGATTCCAGAAAGCTGCTTGTACGATAAATTTGTAAAAATCATAACTCATTCAATATTAATCAGATTATCGAAATTCCAAAGCCTAGATAAAGATAACAAAGCGAACTACAATTCATATGAAGAACATATTTTCAGAAAACAATTCCTTAATGTCATAACAGAGGCACCTTACCTCCTTCAAGAAAATGAAAATGATGAGGATAAATGAAAGAAGTGTTGCTCGGTTCTTCTCCTTCTCTCCCTCTCTTGCTTGAACTCGGTTTTACTCTCTTTTTACTAAAGTTTTCTAAGTGTTTAATGGCTATTCTCAGCTAAGGAAGGAGACTTAAAGTATCTCATTAATAACCAAGACAAAATGGTGGGAAAACAAAAGAGATTCTAACATATGCTACACATGAAAACATCACATTGAGGGAACATAAGATCCAATATAGATCAAGCTCACATGAAGAATAAATGTCATAGATCTTAGGTGTACATATGGCCGGCCATGTTGCCTCATGTTGCTCAATAAGTCCGATTTTATGATGTTCTTAACTTGTAAAAATAATACTAAGTGTGGTCTTGATATCTACTAAGAAGATGAGAGAAAAAATAAATTTCACGAATCCGAAATTGGATTTAAAAACCGGCTATAACCGGAAACTGAAGAATTTGACTAAAATTCGATTTTAACTTTAATTCGGTTTTGATTGTTGGAAATAATATTAAAGAGATGACAATATAATTGTCTTAAGGCCTGGTTGAATCGTTTCGAAGTTCGGGTCGCAACGGTTCTAAAACGAATTCAAACGAACAACAATTCAGCTTACGCGATTAAACCGAAAATTCAAACGACGATATATAAAATAAAATCGACCGAGCTATATAATAATAGTATCCATATAATAATAAAATATATAATCACATAATCAAGGTATATATAAATATTAAAATAAAATACAATTAATTAAAATAAACTCATAAAAATCTAATATTCGAACGATTAAATTCGATTTACGCGATTAAACTGAAATCGTCGAACGACGAACGTTTTATAATAAAATGATCGAATACTTAAATATATAATTTAAGTACGTACTAAATATTGACGACATCACAAATTACATAATAAATATAATCTCCTAATTAAAATTCAATAAATAGAATAATCTGTGAAATTCTATAAATCGAACGGGGCGCTACAATATTTATAAATAAAATCAATTTTATTATCAACTCAATTTTAAAAAACATCATATGACAACAAAAAAAATAATAAAAATTTAATACATTAATACACCATAAAATAACCATTTTATTTTTTTTCCCATAAATTTTAGGTAAAATTAAATAAAATAAATTTAAGAAATATTATAAAATATTATTTCTCATTTTAAATGTTTTGGTAGATCATATATAAAAAATAAAGTACAACTAAAACTTTTATAAAGTTTCAAAAATAAAAAGAATACATATTTATAATAATTAATATATGAATTAAATAAAAAATGTAAGAGTAATATATAATAACTAAAAAAAAAACTAAAATAGTTTACGGTAATTTCTAAGTTTAATAGTCAAATCAAACATGAACATGTGTCAATACGAAGCAGACGAGTCTACCACTTAAGCTCGCATTCGAGAATTATATATAGGGGCGGTTTTGAACTCTTTCTCATGTAACCTTACATTTAGTTTGTTTATGCATGGTGGCTGGAAATTTGTAATGCAGGGGCCATTAAACTGAAAAAAGAAAGAATGTGTCTGTCAGCTTACTTGCTTTGGAATATTTGGAAGGCAAGGTGCAAATGGATCTACAAAGGAGACTGGATACATGAGAGAGTGATTGTGGAAAATGCCAAGGCAAAATGGTTGGAATAGTGCAATATAGGGAGTGAGCAAGAGGATACAGTGCAAATGATTTCTACACCACATCTTCATTCTAGAGGTAATTCTTCTAAGGAACTAGGTAGGCCAGTAATGGTCATCAGTGCTTCATTACCTGTGGAAGGGAGATTCTTGGTGATACGTACTGTGGAAGCTGGGGGTAGCATAGTATTTGATTGGCAGGAGCAGCTTCTTGGTGCGGTTACAGAGATGGATGCAAGGTTGTCAACTACAAGATGGTCTCTTCAGAAAGCCAAGGAGGCTAAGGTCCACAATTTCACATGTCTGCTAGACTCTCAGGAATTTCACAAAAAATCTAAGCTATTTCAAGTTTTCGTATAAATTAACATAATAAAATTATCGTAACTCCGACAAAATAATATGAACTGATATTTTGATACAATGTGCGTGTATCGATATTTTCTTTTATAGAAAGAACTCTCGTCAATTTTTTTTGTACAATTAGTGGGTCCCGATTTAATTTATTTTTTGTTACGACATTTCAAATAATTGTTATGTGAAATGCACTGTTAATCTTTTTTAGTATGATAAAGAGTGTCGATTTTTTGCATAAATAATCTTATGACTTATTGTTTTTAATAAATTCATTTTAATTAATTAAACAATATAAGTTATATTTACACTTATTATTTACATAGATTTGTAAATATAAGATAAAATTTTACCAAAATAATTATTTTAGAGAAATTTTTTTTGAATAATTTTTTTGAAATGACACATATTTTGAAACGAATATAATGTAATTTATTATTAGTTATGTGCAACGCGCGAGTTGTGTACTAATAATTTTAAATAGACATTTTTATGTAATTTTGTACAATTTAAACTTTATATAAAATTTTCAATAAATTAATATAGATAAATTTTAAAACATATTGATTCCATATTTTTAATTTAAAAATATTATTTAATAAGAAATTTTAATTTGTAAATACTAATTACTAGTTTATATATATCGTAATAATAGTTATATTTTATAGTTTTCAGTAGCGTTAGTTTATATATATTGTAATAATAGTTATATATTTTATAGTTGAGAAATGCTACAGTCCCGTTACGGTATCATCCCGTCGGGTGTTATAACCGTTGGATCCATATTTAGTTAGATAAGATAGATGATCCAACGGTTAAAACACCCGACAGGATGGTACCGTAACGGACCGTAGCATTTCCCTTTATAGTTTTCAGTAGCGTTTCCACCCACTGCAAAAAAAACTGTATTTTCAAAATCACAGCCAATCTCACTCGTGCAAGACGACGCCGTAGGAACATGTCCTGGTTGGCTAGTTCCCATTGCCAATTCTCTCCGCCTCGACGAAATTGAAGACGTGCCCGGCGAAGAGGATAGGGCCCCACACGATACTGTCCCGGAGACAGACCCGCCGCGAGGCGTCACGGTATCCGCCGCCGATCGTCGATCGTCAGGCGACGACCACAGCAGCTGCGGCGGGGACGAAGAAATTGATGGCGGTGACAATCGGCGTGGAGTGAAGGAGGATCTGTCGGAATTGAAAGACTGCCTCGCGCGTCAATTCTGCGGTGTCGCTTCGTTTCTGGCTCCTCCTCCTCCTCCTCCGCCCCCGCCGCCGTCAATTCGGAGGTCTGGTGTTGGAGATCGTGAGGGTGAGGAATTGGTGGAGCACGACGGGGGAGAGCCTGATAAATTTGGGCCGTCGGAGGATTTTTACACAGATGTTGTGGGCTGCGCAATTGGGGTTAGTGAGGAAGTTTTAGCCTTCGCGAGGGATATCGCGCATCACCCGGAGACCTGGTTGGATTTCCCGTTTTCTGAAGAAGATGAGTTCGACGGTGAGGGTGATTTTCAGTTTCTGAATTTCGTAGCTCCTGGCATTTTGGCTGTGAATTCATATGATTTTGGCCCTACTTGTTTGACTTTGCTGAGGACTATTTATTTATGCTTTCTGAATTTTCACACGCATATAGATTCAGTAAACCTATGTGAAAGTGATGTACAGGTAGTGAAAAGCTTGTCTTTGTTCTACCTCGGAAAATGGGTTTCCAAATTGCAGGTTAGAAGAAAAAGTTTTTTTCCTTATGATATAATCTTTTGGTGAGTTCTTTTCCCTGAAAAAGAAGAGTTAAGTTGGTGCATTGTGTTCTGTGAAGCGGGTCTGTAGCTGTAGTATTATATTATGGTGATTTCATTCTAGTTCTCATCTTCCCTTTTTGCTGTTCCGCTTGATCCAGATTTCGATATATCTGATGCACAGTACAAGCATGCTTTGGCGGTCGAACATCTAGCACCAAGATTAGCTG